ATGAACTGTCGACGCGTTGGTCATATCGCACGTCACTGCCACAGCCGCTGGGCTCCACCGTCCCATTATGCACCTCAGTATCACACCACTTCTGCTCGCGAATCGTCTCCATCACTTTTCCATCAACGCCGACCACATTTGCCGCTCCTACAGCACCTCTGAGCAGACCTCACTACGACCGGTCACCCTCCCCTGCTCGTCGTCAGTCCCGGTCGCCCCTACAACGCCTGCTGCCTCCCCGACCTATTCGCAGCATCTCCGACCGGAAAACTAGGCCGTGCAGCTTCTTGAGGTGGAGCTGCGTTGACGACCTTCTTAAGAAATCCTTGGTTAATGTTAACAACGAACCGGCACCTTTTGGACGTTACTGTCGACAATGTTCGTGTCAGTGCGTTGATAGATACTGGCGCGCATGTGTCCATTATGAGTGCTAACATTCGCCGCCGACTTAGAAAAGTTGTCACGCCTGCCCTCAACCGAGCTGTACGAGTCGCCGATGGAGGAACTGCCGCAATTCTTGGCATGTGCTCTGCGCGAGTGTCTATTGGGGAGAGAGGCACGGTCGTTCTTTTCGCTGTTATCGAACATTGCCCTCATGAACTCATTCTCGGTATGGATTTTCTAGCCACGCCCTCTGCTCTCACAGACTGTTCAGCTGGCTCTCTCCATCTCGATTTACCCCTCTTTTCCGACCCGCCTAGCCCACCGCAAACCAGCCTCTGCTGCATTGATTTCACGCGCCTCCCTCCTAACTCCGTCACACATGTCGACTTATCCTCCAAGCCGCCAGTACCTGATGGGGATTACATGGTGGCCCCGATTCCTGCAGTGATGCTTACGCATGGGGTTGCTGTGCCGCATATGATTCTGACGATTAAGAGAAACCGCACCTTCCTTCCACTGGTCAACTTTTCACTCACCACCCAAGTTCTGCCACAGGGTATCTCCCTGGCCAAAATTACTGCTCTCCAAGATGACCAAGTCGAACCCTTCATAGTTGACGATTGCTGCAGCTCAATCAGTGGTTCCACTCCATCACGTTCTTGGGGTGCCGACATTGAGCGAATTGTGTCATGGGACCTCACGTCTGAGCAAGCTGCAGCGCTTGCCACGTTCTTGAGGGCTTTCGTAGTGTTTTCGACTTTGCCAGCAACTCTTTAGGCCAAACGACCATTGTCACCCATCGCATAAATACTGGCCATGCAACCCCCATTCACCGACGCCCCTACCGTGTGTCTGCGTCGGATCGTGCAATATTAAAACATGAAGTTGGCAAAATGCTTGCAAAAATATTATCGAGCCTTCATGGAGCCCGTGGCTTCTCCAGTTGTCCTTGTTAAAAAGAAAGATGGAACATGGCGCTTTTGTGTCGATTACCGTCACCTTAACAAAAAACCAAAAAAGACGTTTATCCTTTACCTCGCATCGACGACGCCCTCGACTGCCTGTACGGTGCCACTTATTTTTCAACTATTGACCTTCGGTCAGGGTACTGGCAGATTGCCGTCGACAAGATGGACCGCGAGAAGACCGCATTCATCACTCCTGATGGTCTTTATCAGTTTAAGGTGATGCCCTTTGGACTCTGCAATGCACCAGCCACATTTGAAAGAATGATAGACTCAATGCTCCAAGGGTTGAAATGGTCCACCTGCTTGTGTTACCTTGACGATGTTATTGTCTTTTCGCCCACATTTGACTCGCATCTTGATCGTTTGTCAGCTATTTTGGACGTCTTTCGTCGAGCCGGACTCCAGCTTAATGCCTCCAAGTGCCACTTCGCTCGTCGTCAAATTTCCGTGCTCGGTCACCTTGTCGATGCCCAAGGCGTGCGTCCAGACCCAGAGAAAATTCATGCAGTCACGAACTTTCCCGTTCCGAGGACTACAAAGGATGTCCGCAGTTTTGTGGGGTTGTGCTCATATTTCAGACGCTTTGTTAAGGACTTTGCGACCATTGCACGCCCTCTCACAGACCTCTTGAAGAAAGACGCCTCGTTTACCTGGGGCCATGACCAAGCGTCATCGTTTTCACAGCCTACGAGACTGCTTACAACGCCACCAATCTTGGCTCACTTTGATCCATTAGCCCCAACCGAGGTTCACACGGACGCCAGTGGACACGGCATAGAAGCTGTGCTATTGCAGCAACAACGCGGACACGACCGTGTTATAGCCTACCAAGTCGACTGCTATCTCCAGCCGAGCGCAACTATTCCATCACGGAGCGCGAGTGCCTCGCCCTTGTATGGGCAGTCGCCAAGTTTCACCCATACCTGTACGGAGCTCATTCCGTGTTGTCACGGATCATCACGCGCTTTGCTGGCTAGCCTCCCTGAAGGACCCCACGGGACGTCTCGCTCGTTGGGCTCTACGCCTTCAAGAGTACACGTTCTCTGTAATGTACAAAACAGGGTGATTACATCAGGATGCGGATTGTTTATCCCGCTACCCTATTGACGAAGCAACCGATACCGACGCTATCACAGATGTTTTTCCGTGTCGCAGCTGTTGACCATTGCGAAGAGCAACGTCGGGATGCTTCTTTACGAGCCATCATTAACAAACTGGAGTCAACGCCACGTGACCCATCCCTACGAATGTTTTTGGTGAAAGACAGGATCCTATATTGCCAAAACCTTGATTCCTTCGGATCAGACTTACTTCCTGTCATCCCAGCGCACCTGCGTTCCTCTGTCCTGCATCAACTTCATGACGCTCCCATGACGGGCCATTTGGGCGTTTCTCACACGTACGATTAAGTACGACGTCGGTTTTTTTGGCCTGGACTTGCCCGCTCTGTTCGACGCTATGTCGCTGCTTGTGAGCCCTGTCAGCGTCGCAAAACGCCGTCTGCCCTCCCAGCCGGCTACCTTCAGCCGATCGACGTTCCCAACGAGCCTTTCTTTCGAGTTGGTCTCGACCTGTTGGGCCCTTCTCCACTCTCCACAGCCGGAAATAAAGGGATTGCTGTTGCCACGGACTACGCGACGCGGTACGCAATCACACGAGCACTCCCGACCACCTGCGCTACCGACGTTGTGGACTTTCTGCTGTACGACATATATTAGTGCACGGTGCTCCCCCTCAACTTCTCACCGACTGTGGCCGCACGTTCTTATCAGCTGTCTTTCATGAAATCCTGAGGTCTTGCCATACCAAGCACAAATGTACTACTTCGTACCATCCCCAGTCAAATAGACTCACGAAGCGCCTTAACAGGACCTTAACCGAAATGCTTGCCAAATACGTTGCGCCAGACCACCATGATTGGGAAATTCATTTGCTGTATGTGACGTTCGCCTACAATTCATCTCGTCACAACACTGCCGGATATTCGACCTACTATCTACTATGGCCGGAACCCAACTTTACCTTTAGACACGTTACTACCTGCGGCCACTGAATATGTTGGGGAAGCCATTGCCCGCGCCGACCACGCGCGCCAAGTCGCCCGTAACCGTCTACAGGCTTCACAGGCGCGCCAACAACATCTCTACAACTCTCACCATAGGGACGTGCACTTTTCTCCGGGTTCTCTCGTGCTCCTCTGGTCACCTACTTGGCGTGTTGGTTTGTCTGAAAAACTGTTGTCGCCCTACACTGGACCATTCTGTATCGTTCGCAAAGTGACAGACGTCACGTACGAGATTGTTCCAACTGATCCAACAAAGTCATCGTCAGCTCCAAGCGACATTGTTCACGTGGCTCGGCTAAAGCCCTATTACCCCTTCGACATCATCTGCGTAAATTTAGCACCGGGACGGCGCTTCTACCGCCGGGGGTTATGGTACAAAACAGCCGCTAAACACGGCTGCATGAAAGAGGAGGACGAAGTCAGTTTTTCGTTAGATACTGGTCTGGCGCCATCTTACTCGTCGAGTTCTGTGCACTGTAAATAGATCATTAAACAAGTTACTCGTAACAATATCATCAACGACTGCGATAGTCTGTTGGCATCGCATGGGCTCTTCACAAAACCAGACAGTAATACTTCACCATCTGCGCAACGCACAGTGGCTCCACGTTCTTTCAGTAAGTCTATTCCCACGATAACGTCATGAGTAGAATTCAGAACTGCAAAATATGCCTTAAACAATTTAGCACCGAAAGTAACAGGTGCAGTACAAACTCCCGCTGGGCGCAAAGATTCCCCATTCACTGCGCGAAACGTTGTCTGGCTTCCCTAATAGTACATCACTTCCTAGTCAAGACGAGTCTTGTTGCTCCCGTGTCGACTAATACGGACCTGGGGACGATGGCCCCATTTTGTAGCATGAAAACTAGTGGAGGCATGTCTGTGCACAGTGCAAAATGTCCGGCTATCTCACTTCCATAGTCCATGGCGTCTAGTTTCCCGGCGGAGGAGAAGTGATGCGCCGACGACCTGCTGATGGTGACATATGCTGGCGAGAGGAGGCTGGTGGCGTCACACTCCGCACAGAAGCCGGCCAATCGCTCCGGAAGGTCTGATGGAAGCCGGCCCGGTAGTAGCCGTTCGGTGGCCAGTGATAGTCTCTCTGAGTACTTGCGCGCCGTAAGAATGCCGAAGGTCGTTGATACTGCGGCAGAGGTCACCAAAGCCGCTCTCAACAAAAGCGGGCTATGTGTCCAGGAACGCCGCAGTAAATCACACAGGTGCTTCGCGCCCCAATCGCTAATGAAGATGGTCAGCGGGATAATCTTGCCACACTGCCCTATTAGGGGGAGGGGTACCTTTTCATGGAGTCGTTTCGCGGATCACACATATAGGCATCATGACGCGACTGTACCGGCATCCTTCAGTCGACGAAGCCGGCAGCTTTGATGGACCCAGGCGGGAACCGCATGGCGTATAAGAACCATAGGCCCGTATTCACAAACGATCCTCCACTCGACCCTTCACTCGAACGCCCTTAAGTGGCGTCTTCCCTTCACGTAACCGCCATTCACTTGCACGTCACCCCCCCCTTCACTGAAACGCTTCCTTCACTTGAGAAAATCTTGGGCGTTTACTCGAGATTTCCAAGGAAGCGATTGAGCTACCTTGAATCGTCCCTCGAGCCAAGTATCATGGCGGACTACGCGTCGTTCGTCGATTATGTTCTCCGCGTCGACGAGCTGTTTGGCGACGTGGAGGACTGTGTAAGCATACCACGCCAACAATTGAGAGACCGGTTGAACCCCATGAAGCACTTCACAGACAGTGAATTTCTCGCCCGCTATCGCTTCACCAAGAGCAGCCTGAAGGAGCTAATTGAGTGCTTGCCATTTGAGGAGAGCTGCAGCAATCCTGGCCACCCTCTTCCACCTGTGATGCAGCTTCTGATTACGCTGCGCTTTTATGGAGCGGGTACTTTTCAAGTAGTGATGGGCGACTTGGTGAATGTGTCTCAGCCGACGGTGAGCCGCGTCATTGAACGTGTGTCACGGCTGATCGCGAAGCGCTTGTTCCCGGCTGTCGTAAATTTCCCTAACTCCGATGACAGGTTCTGTGAGACGATGGTGGAATTCTACCGGATCGCCAAGTTTCCCGGTGTGACAGGGTGCATAGATTGCACCCACGTCCGTATCAAATCACTTGGTGGGCCGAATGGTGAAGTTTACCGCAATCGGAAGGGGTACTTCTCCATAAATGTTCAAGTAACTTGCTCATTCTTCGCTGCTAACATTGAAAGCTTTGCAGTACTTCTGAAATGTAGTAATTCCACATTTACATTGCACAAGGCATTCCATGGGCTGCATATTAGCAAAAAAAAACTTCATGGTAGATAATTTGATTATAAAACCCCGTGCATGCTATGGTAACAACGTGGCGTTTTTTTTATTATTTAGTTTAGCTTGTTTGCAACCCAGTAAAGCTGTATTCACAAGAAAGACCAGAGCGCGATTTAAACCCACGGATTGCTTGCTACAATACCAAACATCACATGTTCTCTTGTGGTCCTCCTTCAGTCCGCGCTAAGCAATTAGCGAGATGAGCGAGCAGGCCCAGGTCCCAATTGCAATGCTAGGGGTGGAGTGGAAGGGGGGGACTGAAGTTTTGGTTACAGTGGTAATTCACCCCTCTCGTGCACGCGTTCTGTACGAGCAAAAACGAGTACCGGGTCTCCTACTTGGCGATGCTGGATACCGCTGCACGTCTTTCCTCATGACACCGATGTCTGACCCGCCACCGGACAGCCCTGAGAGCCGGTTAGTACGCCTGTATAACCCTTTAACTGTCATCTCCAGAACGAAACGTGTACGTGTGTGCTACCTATCGCGCTTGAAGTTTTTTATTACATTAAGCGTGGTACATGTATCGTTTTTTGGGCCCTGAATATATCCCACGTTACAATAGAATCGGCATATTAGCAGCAACAGTTTTGACTAGCGGCCTGGCTATAATACTCAAGTGTATCGTTTAATAAGTGTAAGTTCATACAGCAATACGACATTGATTTCTTTGCATAGGTATCAAGCAGCTCACATGCGCACTAGAAACACGATCGAGCGGGCCTTTGGCATGTGGAAACGTCGCTTCCCGTGCTCAGACATGGGACTACAAAACTTGGTGGAGCGCTCCATCGTCAATACAACGGCCTGTGCTGCCCTACACAACCTTGCAGTCCTAAGGCAAGACGCGGAACCACCACCTGTGATTATCCCACAACGCTTTAGGCGGCAGCAGCCTGATGTGGCGAACCAAGCCGACAGCCTACTCGGATCTCGATGCCGAATGCGGCTGATTATTCGTGCATTTACCTCGCCTAATGAATAAATTGTGTAACATGTTCTTTTGAGTAGACAAACAACCTCAGATTGGGAAATCTATGCATGTTCACATACGAGAGCATGCTGAAAAGTTCCTGAATTCGTCACGTTTTAGGTTTCTTTTCAACCTTGCTGACTCGCAACAATAAAATTTTTTTATCACACATGGAGCTGTTGCAGATGTCTTTTAAATAAAAGCATCAGGTTTGTGAGATTGCACAGATGCTTTATTTTTGTTCCGGCTAGGTTTCTATGCGCTGCTGCTGCTGTTTTTTCTGTAATTCAAAAAGGAGCTTCTGGCGCTCGATGTTGAAGCGCCATTTTTGCTGCTCCAGCTGCAGCTCCAACAACTGCACTTGAATTTTATGCAGCTCCTGCTCCCGCTGCACTTGCATCCTGTGCATTTTTCGTTGGTGCAAGAGCTGCTGCTTACGCAAGCGCAGCTCCAGGGCGTGCAGCTGTGCCTTGCGCTGCTCATCAGTTTTCAGTGCCTCCATTCGGGCCGTAGCTTCTGGGGCGAGCACGCGCTCTATGGCTGCTAGGCGGCTTCTCGTTGATTTCGGCCGTTGGCGTTCTCCTGCACCAACTAAATTTCCCCCATTTTCTTCTGGAGCTGCTGCTGTTCGTGACTTCTCGTTTCCAGGAGCAACTACTGCCAAGGTGTGAGAGGGACAGCTTGCGCAAGCACCTTCCGTGGGTGGCTGTGTAGTCTGAGGTCATAAGGAACCAGCGCCCTCGCTCGATCGCAGTTGTGGCTGAATTGTCTCGTCTGCACACACACAATACAATTGCATAAGGTAGGGAAACGTAACACGTGTAAGCAGTGTCAGCATGACTGTTGGATGCTGCTGCAAGTATAAATACAAGCACGTTTTATATCACGCATCAGGCCTGCGAGTAAAAGAGAAGTGTGGCAATTTATCCGGATCATGCCCGGCCTGTTACTTGCACACATAATTCATAATACTGTTCTGTCTAACCTCAATATCGCTATGGCAGTAGCTAAGAGAGCTTTACTGCGGAATACCTGAGCAGCATTTTATTTAAAATAACTTTACCCACATCCTTTTTCTGAAGTGTGTGATATACGTTAACCACATATTTCATGCGAAAAGCAGGCTTAATTTTACATAAAACTGTAGAAATAACTTATCTTCAATATTACTGTTTTATGTTAGTCACACAACCCGAAAAGCCATGTCGGCAGCACTTTTATAGTTGCATGCAGTTGGGCCGTATGACTAGCGGCGCCTGTGCTCCCGATGTCGGCAAACCCATAGTTCTTGGTGACTCCAACAGCAGGCCATGGCATGAAATTGGTTGTGTCTGCACATACAAAAGAAGCAGAACTGGTGCTCTGCTGGCATGCGACGTAATAAGAAAAGCCTCTTTATGGTACAGGCACAAATAGTTGTGTGTTTGCATGCTTTCACAAGAACACGCGACATTTTTAACAAATCAGTACGTGATAGAAATATAAAAAGTCATAACAGTTGTAAATATGAAAATAAATAATGTGAGCTGGTGGCATGCAACACCGTCACTCTGCAAACATACAAGCCCCTTACCACTAATCACACATGGTGACAGATACTTCATGTGCATGCATACGGTATCAGACACAAACATAATAAAGAAAGCGACTGTCCTTCACGAATATGAGCTTCAGTTGTAGCAAAAATATTGAATCAATTGGCGAATTCTATCCCTGACAAATCAAGAGTACTAGCTCGTGGGCTAGTAAGCCTCTTGCTGCCGGGAAGTGGCGCTGGGAAAAGGGCATCTTCACACAAAAGCAAAATTGAAATACAATTCCAAAGTTGGGCTTATTATAAGGCCACCCATGATGTGAAATGTATGTGTCACACAAGTACTTGCTGAACCACGTCAAATTATGCTAGGAACGTTTTAAAAGAGTAATAGCATGCTTATTACATAGCATTACTTTCTGTTAACACCATGGCATGTTCTTGTAATGAGAATGAGAATTATTTGTACACGTAAATTTTAGTAAAATGGATATGCAAATGGTAGGAACAGAGGCATTAGTCACAAGACAAAACAACATTGAAACGCAAAACCTCCCACATTGTATACATGCATAAGTTGATGCAATATAGCAGCACGACAGTTGCTACATCTGACAGTTTTTGCCCATTCGTCTTTTACCAAGCAGCTCTTCCGTGTTGTCTTGGCTACCAGTGAGCATGCTCTCGAAAATCCGCTACGGTGATAAAGAAAACACTGGCTGATTAAGGTGGACTCCATCGCTGTCATAAGGGTTCTGAAGCCATGTCCCCATGTGTGATGCCGCCGCTCCAACAAGCGCCAATGAGGGGCTCATTGGCCGGCAGGTAGATGGCCCGCCCCTAAGGTGCGAAAATGTTGTTACGTGGACACATTGAAATTTCAAGTGACAGCACAAAGAAAGTGCTTAAGGAAGCCAACGCATATGCGAGAGAAATAGGCAGCGAAAATTTATGGTACACAGATAACTTTTTAATGTACTATTACTACTACCCATTTATTTATTTATTCATCATACCTTACAAAGCCCAATACGGAATCGAGTAAGAAGGGCTAGTACAGAGTAAATAGAGAAATATACATCAGTAAATACAAGAAAAGAAAGTAAGAGAAAAAACTGTACAGTGATTTAAGTTGGAGAAAAATTATGTCCTGCAAAAATACATAGAAATACTGACAACGAAACCAAATCTTGCACTTATATATATTATATATGTATATAGAGTGCAAAGCACGTTCAAACCAAGCAAAAGCATTTCTTAATTCATAATGAAATGACACACTTGGCACCCGATGGCAAAAAAAAGTGCAGGAAGATTTTGCCGAAAAAAAAAGAACGGTGACGACGTGATGCTATTTAAAAAAATGTTTCTGCAAGAGAAAAACCGTCACTCCCTTCCCCTGAAGGAGAACCCTGTGCACGCCTATGATTCGCACAATTCTTGCAGGTACACATTTATTTACGACATATAGATCAGAGCAGAAACTATGCCCTTATTAGGGCGTTTTCGGATAGCTTACGCAAGAGACGCAATTTGAAAACTCATTCATATATGACACCCATACGCAAACGCTACGCCCACGAGGCCTGCTAACTTATTCGAAACTCCCCGCTTACAGTAGTAAACAAACGTAAACTTACCTGTGGCATACAAGTTTCGCTTTTCCTCTGACCGCTTCTTCTTCCACTTGGACTTTTCATTGTCCCACAACTTACGCAGCTGTGCCACCGTAACGCGACGAATGCCTGGTTGGCTGTTGTATTCGCTCGTCAGCTTTTCAAAGGCACTGTCCTTAGCGCGCTTGGCGAGCGCGTCAGTTCTCTTGTTTTCGATAACTGCCTTGTGCCGCGTCACCAGATTGACAAGCAGTTCACGCTCCTCACGCGTGAACACGAACCGCGTTGCGGTGGTTTTCCTGCCGTCACGCGCGACGCCACGGTCATCGTTGAAAGTCATTGCACAGTTCGTCACTACGGCACCACGACACGAGGTGCAACAAAACTTCGCTCACACGTGCAAACGAGTCTTCGCAAAACCGGTATCTAATCCTGGCGGCTTCGCCTCTGGCGTGGCTAATGTGATGCCTGCCTGATATCGAAACTAGCTTATAGTATTTGAAATCTCGCTTAATACTTCCACCGTATACACATTTATTGACAGTCGACAATTTTTTAACCTATCCAAAGTGTTTCAACCTAAATTTTTGTTATTTAATGTGGTATTTTATCACATACCCTCGCTACCAGGACGCGTCTTGCGTATGTCGAGTGAAGGAGCGTTTCGCGAGTCGGCCCTTGGCGAAGGAGCCGTCGAGTAGCGTTCATGAAACACATCGGTTCCTTGAGTGGAGGAGCACGCTCCGCCTTGACTTCGTCAAGTCGAGCGGGAGCCCTTAAGTGAAGGAGCGTTTGTGAATACGGGCCTGAATGTTCTAGCGTTATTGCTGGCGGTGGCGTAGGTTCCAGAATAATCTGTACAGTTCGCATAGTGGGCGTTATCTTATCGAGATGATCTATTAAAGTCCGGAATGTTCTCGAAAACTGCAAGCGTGGTTTTCGCTGAGAAATTGTGTAGTGTTTTGGGGCGATAACGAAACTTGAGAAATGGAACGTGGCATTGCCCCGCTCTGAAACAGGCATCGTCCCGATGCTTTACTGAAAGATGAAGGTACAACAATAATGCAAGAAAGAACAATTAATCAATTACGATACAAGATACAACAGTAATACAAATAAGCAATTTTTCAGTTTGTTATTGCGCACGAAACGGCTTGAGGCGCGCGACATGGACGACTTCAGGTCGCGATCGGTGTCGTTGAGAGTTCGTGATGCCGTCAGGGACAACCTCGTAATCAAGTGGACCGAGACGTCGAACCACCCTGTACATTTCGAAGTACCGTTGCAGAAGCTTTTCACTTAGTCCGCGTCGGCGTATCGGCGTCCACATCCAAACACGTTCACCGGGCTGGTATTCCACGATTGATATGTGGAGTTTAACGCCCCAAAACCATCATAGGATTATGAGAGACGCCGTAGTGGAGGGCTCCGGAAATTTCGACCACCTGGGGTTCTTTAACGCGCACTCAAATCGGAGCACACGGCCGTACAACATTTCCGCCTCCATCGGAAATGCAGCCGCAGCAGCCGGGATTCGAACCCACGACCTGCGGGTCAGCAGCCGAGTACCTTAGCCACTAAACCACCGCGGCGGGGCGGGCTGGTTTTGCACGAAGCGTCATCGAAGATTGGAACGGCGGCTGTCGGTCGTCTGTTGATTTTTAATACGAAGACACGCGAGTTGTCGGGCTTCTTCGGCGCGTTGAAGGTACACACTTGCATCGAGATTTTCTTCGTCGGTGACGTTGGGTAACAAGGCATCGAGCGTCGTTGCCGGGCTCTTTCCGTTGACCAATTTCTATGGGTATATCTGCGTCGTCTCCTGCACCGCCGTGCTGTATGCGAGAGTCACGTACGGAAAAATGGCGTCCCACGTCTTGTGTTCAACATCGACGTACATTGCCAGCCTGTCGGCGATCGTCTTGTTAAAGCAATACTTTTTTGCAGACTAGTTGGTTCATACTTGAAAAATTGAATTGCTGCACAAACTTGAAGAAAAAACAAGAGAGACAGGAAAGACTGCACTCTTTCTTGTCTCTCTTGTTTTTTCTTCAAGTTTGTGCAGCAATTCAATTTTTCAAGTCTTGTTAAGCCACTCGGTGAGGCCGTTGGTTTGCGGGTGGTTCGCTGTCGTTTAGCGGTGGATTGTCTGGCTGTATGCCAAGATCGCTTTAGTTAAGCCGGCACTAAATGAAGTTCTTCTGTCGGTGATAAGGACCTAGGGGGTGCCATGACGTAGGGCGATATTTTCGACAAAGAACATAGCTGCCTCGGATGCACTGCCTTTGGGAAGGGTTCTTGTCTCGGCGTAGCGGGTGAGGTTGTCGGTAGCTACTACGATCCACTTGTTTCGGAAAGACGAGGTCGGGAACGGCCCCAGTAGGTCCATACCGATCTGATGGAAAAGTCGGCAAGGTGGTTCGATTCGCTGTAGAAGTCCCGCTGGCCTTGTCGGTGGTGTCTTGCGTCGCTGACAGTCCCGGCATGTCCTCCCGTAACGAGTGACGTCGGTGGTAAGACGTGGCCAGTAGTACCTTTCTTGTATCCTCGCGAGCGCGCGAGAAACACCGAGTTGCCCTGCCGTCGGATTGTCGTGCAGGGTCTGCAGGAGTTCTCGTCGTAGAGCGTAAGGCACCGCAAGGAGGTACTTAGCTCGAAGCGGTGAAAAGTTTTTCGTTTGTAGAAGACCGTTTGGCAGAGAGAATGACGCAAGCGCACGCTTGAATACCTTCGGGACTTCGGTGGTCCTGCCTTCGAGGTATTCTATTAGGGCCTCAAGTTCCGGGTCGACTCGCGGTCGTTCAGCGAAGTCATCGGTAGTTATCATTCCCAAGAAGTAGTCGTTACCGGGTCGTCGGGTGGAGGTTGGTCGACAGGCGCACGAGAAAGACAGTCGGCGTCGGAGTGTTTCTTGTTGGACTTGTAAATGACAGTAATGTCATATTCTTGAAGTCTCAGGCTCCATCGTGTGAGGCGACCTGAAGGGTACTTCAAGGTGGCTAGCGAACACAAGGCATGGTGGCCACTCACAACTTTGAAGGGCCTGCCATAGTAGTAGGGGCGAAATTTCGACGTAGCCCAGATGATGGTGAGGCACTCCTTTTCTGTTGTGGAATAATTGGCTTCTGTTTTGGATAGCGATCGGCTGGCGCAACTAATAAAACTTTCAAGCGGCGAAGCGCGTCGGCATTTATACCCCTGCCGTCGAATGTTCTAGCGTTATCGCTGGCGGTGGCGTAGGTTCCAGAACAATCTGTACCGTTCGCACAATGGGCGTGATCTTATCGAAATGATCTACTACAGCCCGGAACCTTCTCGAAACCAGCAGGCGCGGTTTGCGCCGAGAATCGTGTGGTGTTTCGGAACGATAACAAAACTTGGGAAATGGAACGTGGCATTGCCCCCCTCTGAAAAAAAGGCATCGTCCCGATGCTTTAACTAAAGATGAAGGTACAATAATAATGCAAGAAAGTACAATGAATAAATTACAATACAACAATATTACAAAACACACTGTTTCAGTTTGTTAACGTGCATGAAACGGCTTGAGGCGCGCGACATGGACGACTTCAGGTCGCGATCGGCGTCGTTGAGAGTTCGTGATGCCGTCGGGGACAACCTCGTAATCGAGTGGGCCGAGACGTCGAACCACCTTGTACGGTCCGAAGTACCGTCGCAGAAGCTTTTCACTTAGTCCACGTCGGCGTATCGGCGTCCACACCAAACATGTTCACCGGGCTGGTATTCCACGAAGCGTCGTCGAAGGTTGTAACGGTGGCTGTCGGTCGTCTGTTGATTCTTGATACGGAGACGCGCAAGTTGTCGGGCTTCTTCGGCGCGTTGAAGGTACTCGCTCACATCGAGGTTTTCTTCGTCGGTGACGTTGGGTAACATGGCATCGAGCGTCGTTGCCGGGCTCCTTCCGTAGACCAATTTGTATGGAGATATCTGCGTCGTCTCCTGCACCGCCGTGTTGTATGCGAAGGTCACATACGGAAGAATGGCGTCCCACGTCTTGTGTTCGACATCAACGTACATTGACAGCATGTCGGCGATCGTCTTGTTAAGCCGCTCGGTGAGGCCGTTGGTCTGTGGGTGGTACGCTGTCGTCCGGCGGTGGTTTGTTTGGCTGTATGCCAAGATCGCTTGAGTTAAGTCGGCAGTGAATGCCGTTCCTCTGTCGGTGATAAGGACCTCCGGGGCGCCGTGACGGAGGACGATATTTCGACGAAGAACTTAGCTACCTCGGATGCACTGCCTTTTGGCAGGGCTTTTGTCTCGGCGTAGCGGGTGAGGTAGTCGGTAGCTACCACGATCCACTTGTTTCCGAAAGCCGACGTCGGGAACGGCCCCAGTAGGTCCATACCAATCTGCTGGAAAGGTCGGCAAGGTGGATCGATTGGCTGCAGAAGTCCCGCTGGCCTTGTCGGCGGTGTCTTGCGTCGCTGACAGTCCCGGCATGTCCTCACATAACGAGTGACGTCGGTGGTAAAACGTGGCCAGTAGTACCTTTCTTGTATCCTCGCGAGCGTGCGGGAAACACCGAGGTGCCCTGCCGTCGGATCGTCGTGCAGGGCCTGCAGGAGTTCTGGTCGCAGAGCGTTAAGGCACCGCAAGGATTGGTACTTAGCTCGAAGCGGTGTTGAAACGTTTTTTCGTTTGTAGAAGGACCGTTTGGCAGAGAGAATGACCGCAAGCGCACGCTTGATACCCTCTCGGACTTCGGTTGGTTCCTGCATTCGAGGTATTCTATTAGGGCCTCAAGTTCCGGTCGACTCGCGCGGTCGTTCAGCGCAGGTCATGCGGTAGTTATTCATTCCCAAGAAGTAGTTCGTTACCGGGTCGTCGGTGGATGGAGGTTGGTCGACAGGCGCCACCGAGAAAGACAGTCGGGCGTTCGGAGTGTTTACTTGTTGGACTTGTCAATGACCAGTAATGTTCATATTCTGACAGTCTCAGGCTCATCGTGTGAGGCGACCTGGAAGGGTACTTCAAGGTGGCTAGCGAACTACAAGGCATGGTGGCCACTCCACAACGTTTGAAGGGCCTGCCATAGTAGTAGGGGCGAAATTTCGACGTAGCCCACATGATGGTGAGGCACTCCTTTTCTGTTGTGGAATAATTGGCTTCTGTTTTGGATAGCGATCGGCTGGCGTAACTAATAAAACTTTCAAGTCCGTAAGCCCTCTGCACAAAAATGGCGCCAAGACCTACGCTGCTTGCATCAGTGTGTATATCAGTCTCAGCGAATTCGTCGAAATGGGCAAGTAACAGAGGCGTCTGGAGGCGATGTTTAAGCTCCTGGAAAGCGTGTTCTTGCGGCGTTTCCCACTTGAACTC